GCTTGCCTTGACCTCAGGATCCTCCTGCCTCTATCTCTCAAGTAGCTGGTATTATAGGCATTACACCAGGCTTCCCTTTTGTAAAATTATTTATATTTCTCCTTCCCATTAATAATTTGCAGATAAATACTTTAAGATTACATAAAAATCGTGTTTCATATCAAAGTTTCATGCTAGTTTCAGCATCCAGTGATGTTTACTGCATAAATCAATTATGATGTTGCAAATAGTGATTTTCTTCTGTTTCATTCTGTTCTACATTTGTTCATTTGCTCACTTAACATCACTCAGAAAATACCTTCAGTGTTGTTAGCCCATACTAAGGTAAAAAAATAAACTTATGATTAGGAATTCAATATTTATTTACAATTCTTATTGTTTTTAGACTGAGGGTACAAAGTCAACATTCTGTGGAATCAAAGACTACTTAGGGTAGGTTTTTTTCCCCTTCCCCTTCATTGTGGTTATTTTATTAATTTAAAGTATATTTAAGTTCACTTATTTCTGTTTATGGCTAATCTCATTAGTTTCCATTTCCTTTTCTAAAACAAATAGATCATGTACACTTTTTAATGTGAAACCATGGAGTTTGCACAAATTTGTATGTCATCATGGTGCAGGGACCTGATTTTCTCTGTATCATTCCAGTTTTAGCACATGTACCACCAAAGCAGATATTCTTTTTCTTTTCATATTTCATTATCTTATTGCTTTCTAAAATATTGGATAGTAGGCATCCTCTTCTTGTTCCTGACTTGCTTTAATGACGTATGTTTCAACACAAACTTCTATGAGCATCTACCACATACCAGGTATTCCAGATAAAACCCTGCACAAGGACGACATGGTGTCTGCCCTCACAGAGCTCTAACTTGGTTGGAAAGAGGGACAGTTAAATGAGCAACTCAATACAGCGTGAGTATGGTGGTTGGGGAGGAACTAACTATTTGTTGTAGAAATACACAGGTGAGATGCCTACCCAGACTCTAGCTCTTAGTACAGTTGTATACTTACAAGTCTAGTCTTAAACATCTCCACAGGACTGCGAAACTCTAGGGCACAGCTGGGAGTGCAAAATTACTCAGAACCTAGGGTTCCTAAAATGCAAAAAGCCCTCCTCTTCATAAACACCTTTTGGGTAAATAGAAAACAGTGATGATTAGGCTCTTTTTCTGTTTCACTAATGAAATATGGACATAACAGATGATAGAGAAGATGTAAAACTTTTGCTGTGTTGCACCACACAGAAAAATGAAAGATTTATTGTGTGACCTTGTGTAAATTTATTTAAATTCCATTGCAACAGGTGAAGAGCTCTTTGTTATTATAAGACTTTTTTTTTTTTTTTTGTATTGAAGATTGAACCCAGGACACTTAACTGCTGAGCCTCATCCCCAACCCTTTTTTATCTTTTATTTTAAGACAGTCTCAATAAGTTGTTTAGGGTCTCACTAATTTTCTGAGACTGGCCTCCAACTTGTGATCCTCCTGCCTCAGTGTCCCAAGTTGCTGGGATTACAGGCATGTGTCACTATGCTTGGCTATTAAACCATTTAAAAAAAAAAAACGTATGTCTAAATACATATTTTTTTCTGAAACATGAGAGTAAGAGAATACTGCCTAATATTTCATTCCTAAATATGTCAACTTGTATCTAAGACTAAGGATATTCTCCTTCCTATTCACTACATAATGATCACAGGCAAGAAACTTAATATTGATTCAATACTACACCACACTGTTACCCAATATATAGTCCATATGCAAATATCTCCAGTTGTCCCAATAACATATTTTCTTCCTTGTTACACAATCCCTACCCAAGTCAGGGATTGAATCAAAGATCAGATTAAATTTAGTTGTCAAATTTCTTTAGTTTTACTTACTTAGGATGGTTCCCAGGTCTTTGTTTTGCTTTAGTTTTGTGTTTTTATGATATATTTATTTTAAGAGTTTGGCCAGTTGTTTTGTAGAGTTTCCCTTATTTTGTAGAGTGATTATTTCCTTATGGTTGCATTCAAGTTAAAGATGTTAGTAAGGCCTTGCCCTTTGTGGGTCACAATGGCAGGCACATATGTCAATCTGTGCTATTATTAGTGTTGCAAAATTTGCTTCTTGAGGTATTCACTAGATTTCTCCATGTTTATTATTAGTACACAATGAATGTCTGGAGTGGTACTTTGAAACAGTATGAATGTCCTGTTCCCCAATACTTGTTTCATTCAATGGTTTTAGTGTTCATGGATGACTGCAAAATGGTCATCCAAACGTGGGCAGTTGGCATTTTTTTTTTTTTTCTAGCTTCGACCTCCAGTTTCCCAACCATGATTCTGCCCCATCTCTTTGATTATGCTGCCTTTGACCAGCCTGGGTTAAGTGACTTCTTAACCTTTGGCACTAACACGTTAATATGTAGGTCTTTCTGAATTTATCACAGCCGGGGTGAACCAGGCCCAGAGAGAAAGCAAACACCTCTGTAAGCTGTATCTATTCATAATAATGGGCACTAGCAACAATTCTAGCTCCTTTGAATGCCTAGGAGCTTCTTCTCCTTTGAAGCTGCATTATGATGATGCCTCCGAGCCTCAGAAAACAAATCAGCACACTGGACAGAATTCCTTTTGCTCCTGTGTCTTTTAGCATCCAGCTCTCAGATCACAAACTGTACCATAAATAGCAATGACCACATCTTAAGGAATCAAACATGATCTGTTTTCCATTGTCCTCAAAATGATACCATTAGACACTGACTGAGTACTGACTTTCCGCTTCATAGGCCAAAGTGAATAACAATCCTTCCAAACTCAAATGGGGGTGTTTTGTGCAGCTCTCTTTTTGCCATGCACTGACTTATTAGAGAAAATTACAGATTTTGTAGGTGGCTGGTTATAATAATCTAAGGTTAAAAACAGAACCATAAAAGTTGAAGACATCAGAGATCAGAGATGTCTAAAAATAAAGTAAATGCTTTTCTTCTTTCTATAATCTTCAATTAGAAGCCATTTAAGGAAGAGATAATCAAATCCAGAGACTTGTAAATATGGATTCTACAGTTCTCCCTGGCACAACTGCTTCACAAATTAATTTTCGTACATTTTGAGATGTGTTAATAAATTATTTTACCCTACTTCCATCCATGTTGCCCTTTGGATGTCAAAAATGCTAATAATGAGACAAACTTCATGATGACTAGTGGAATAACACATCCTTGACAAATACAGCTCTCCTAAAATGAGAAAATCCCCTTTTTATCAGTTGATAACTTCCAGAGGAAGATATTGGGGTCAGAGGGAGAATATTTCTCTCCAAGGCAGTGCAAGTTGAGCTCTGTCAAATCAACCAGATGTCTATGCAGTTCACTCAAAGAGAATCTCGATTTCTCTGGTCAACTTCTGTAGTCACTAAATGAAGTAGTCTCATTTCCTAAAACCAAGAACAATTCCATAATTGAAAACGAGTCTTAGCCAAGCTAATATTCAGAAATAAGATTTGAAAGCCTGCTGGGAAGATCATTCTCAGGATGTGGTGTGAGCTTGCTACACTAGAACGTCTAGAACTTTCTGTTTTCTGTCTCTCTACTCCGTGGATAATCTCATCCATTTCTATCCATAATCACGATTTATGCTTCCTCTGAATTCCAGGTTCATGTATCCGAATGCTTGTCTGCCATTTCCTTTTGAAAGTCTCACTGGAAATTCAAACATCATGTCTAAGATGGTGCTCTTGATTTTCCTCTTGATTTTCTCCTGCACTGTTCCCAGGAGGGAAAGGTCACCACCCAACCAGTCAATAGACTATGCTAGAAATCCTGAGGCCTTTCTAATTTCCCACCTCTCACGGCCCACATCAATTCTACCAGAAAGTCAGTCTGCTTCCAAAAACCTATCCACCCCTCCCTTTTAAATCCTCTGCCACCTTTTCCAGTCCAATCTACAGTTTAGGTTGGGGTTATTGCAGCAGCCCACTGGCTGGACTCCTGCAAGCTTCCATTTTTGCTCTGCTAACACTCACTCACTCTCTATAGAACAGACAGGGGAAACAAAAAAACCCACAAAAACTTAAAAGTACAAGTCACCTAATACAACATGGGATAACAATCTGGATTCTGGAATGGAAGAGGACACTGGACATCAGTGGGAAAACTAGTGTAATTCTAATGTCTGTGGCTTTGCTAAGTGCATCATGGTTAGGGACGATGTTAATATCAGGGGAAGCTGGGGAGAGGGTATACAGGAACTTGAACTTTTACAACCTTAGTGTAAATTAAATGTTATTCCAAAATAAAAATTTTATTTAAAAACTTTTATTAAAAACTTCATAAACAATATCACATCACCCTTTTGTTTAAAATTCTTGAATTACTCCCAGTGCACCAAAATCTAAACTTTTTACCATGGCCCCAGAGGTCTCTCACAACCTGGCTTCCCTATCTTTTGAACCTAGTCTACTTTCTCACTCTAAATGTTCTGGCCAGTGGTTTTCTATTGATTTCTGGAGATATTAGGCTGTGTCATAGGCCGGGGCCTTTGGCCTTGCAGCTTCTGTGTGTTTGCTGGGGCTGCCATAAGAAAACGCCATGGGTTGGGGACCTAACCAACAGATAGTTTCACAACTCTGGAGGCTGGCCAAGGTCAAGGTGTTAGCAGGATTGGGTTCTACTGAGGACATTTTCCTAGGCTTAAAGATGGACAGTTCCTTGCTGTGTCCTCACTGGTCTTTCCTTGTGTGTCCCCATCTCCCCCGCTTTTGGTACCGGGATCAAACCCAGGGATGTTTAGCCATCTGAGCCACATCCCCAGCCTTTTTTTATACTTTATTTAGAGACTGGGTTTTGTAAGTTGCTTAGGTCCTCAATAAATTGCTGAGACTGGCTTTGAACTTGCAATCCTCCTGCCTCAGCCTTCAGAGTTGCCAGGATTACAAGCATGCACCACCCATCCAGCTACCCTAGTACTTCTTTGTGTGTCCAAATTTTTCTCTCAGTCAGACTGGTTTAGGGCCCACCCTAATGGCCTGATTTTAACTTAAAATATCTCCAAACACAATCACATTCAGAGGTAACGTCACTTTGGTGTGTGTGTGTGTGTGGGGGGGGATATGTCTAAGTCCATCACTGTCCTCTTGGTCTGCAAAGTCCTTCAGATGGCTGGCTGTGTGCTGCACTCAGGTCCCACATGGACACCTCATCTTTTCTGAGAGGCCTTCCTGACTACGTGGCTTCAGGCTGATTTCTCCCTATCCTGTTTATTGCCGTATTAGTATTTAATTACAGCTGTAATTCTTTTCCTTAACTTGTTTATGATCTGCTTCCCTGACTCCCTGAGTAATGGGTCTGTCTTACTGCTGTATCTGCGATATCTCTCCTAGCGCCCAGCAGAGAGTTGATGCTCAAAACTTGCTAAAGAACAAATGGTTTTATTGATAATTCAGACGAAATATGAGTCTCATTTGGAAAAGGTTATTAACACAGTTAACCCAAGGTATGGCCATTACAGTAGCAATATCTAATATCTGTATAGTTCCTAACAGCTTGTACATAAACCAACCTCTAGGAATCTGCCACACTCTGATGCAAGCATTATTTATTATATATTGATAAAAAAAATAAAGACTGAATGGTTAAGCGTTTTGCTTAAGGTCATATAGCTGGAACTTCAATATATACTGATTTTTTTAAA